GGGGGGGCAGTGGGGCATGTGGGAAACTTACTTTGGTTACCATGGCGAGTCCCAGCAGATAGCTCATGCAACAAAGGCCGGCTATAAAGATCTCTCTGCGGTAGCCCTTCCTGAGGACGGCAGGAAACAGATCCACGATGGAGGTGATCTGTCCTTCCACCTCCACAAACTGGGGGCAGCAGAGAGCAGAAGAAGAAGCAGCTTCAGTTAATCTGAAGGGACACAGATCCAGGTCCACGTGGGCCAGACCACACGGTTACCAAATGTCCCTCAACACCATGTGGACAATTCACATCAGGACTAAAAATGGAAGCGGGGACAGGGACGGAGTGGAGGACATTTTTAGATTTCATTTTCCCTCCTTTATGATGTGGATTAAATTCACTTCATTAAACAACTCTCTTTAACTAGTACTGGTGGGACGGCTCGGTGTCTCCCCCGTCCTCACCCGCTGCAGGACATTATGACTCTGCCCCTCAGTTTCACCACAACCAAACAAACAAACCCCGTTACATAAGAGTGACAAACACGTGTATGTGTGTGTGTGAGAGAACACACACATCCATGTACCGTCACTGGTACTGTCTGTGAGTCGCTGCAATCGTGTCACTATTTACATGTGGTCAAATTTAGAGCGATGTCCTGAGAGCAGCAGCCAATCAGCTGCAGGACAGAGTTAGACCAGAGTAGAATTTCCCTTGGACACAGGAAATGTGATATCGATGGAGAGTTTATCTGCCTCACACTTTTGTCTCCCAGGACACGTGGCTAATATCAAAGACCAGCGGCCAATCAAAACTCCAGAGGTGACCGCGGCCGAAGACAACACGGTGACCCCAGGTGGACACAGGCGGACCTGCAGCCCTGAGTCAGGTCAGTTTTGTCTCTTCAACGTTCGATATCGATGGAGAGTTTATCTGCCTCACACTTTTGTCTCCCAGGACACGTGGCTAATATCAAAGACCAGCGGCCAATCAAAACTCCAGAGGTGACCGCGGCCGAAGACAAGACAGTGACCCCAGGTGGACACAGGCGGACCTGCAGCCCCGAGTCAGGTCAGTTTTGTGGTTGAACGTCGTTCTCTCTCTTCAACGTTCTTCTTCTTCTTCCTTGTGTTTAAGAACACCCAGAAGGGGGCAGTATTGTGACTCAAACCATGACATGTAGTAATGTGGCCCCCTGTGGTGAAAATGAGTTTGACATCCCTGACATTTAACGAGGCAGTCTGATACAGTATGTGGGTCTGGATGTAGACTGATGTAGACTGATGTAGACTGATGTAGACTGACCTGACTGTCCAGGCCCAGGAGCAGCAGCATGATGAAGAAGAGGACGGCCCACAGTGTTGGCAGTGGCATCATTGACACGGCCTTTGGATAAGCAATGAAGGCCAATCCTGGACCTGGAATTAAAGAAGGGACGGGGGGACGGGGGACAGGGGGTCAGGACGAGTGTGTCCAGTTTGAGCACCAACTGTAAACAGATCTTAAAGATGATGTCAAAGCTGACAGAGCTCTCACACAAGCTGCACTAGCTGAATGGGCCTGTGGGGGGGGCGCAGGGGG